AATTCTATTAATCCACTGTATCTAATTTTGATTTTATAGCAGAAATGTGATCTGAGCAGTAAGGGGAGCCTTTCCTTTCATGCATTTCTGCTACATAACCGCTAGGTGACACTGTGGTATAGAGACCAGCACAAATGCGCAGGAGAGAAAGCACTTTCAGGATTAAAAATTCTACAGAAATTCACACAAAAGTGCCTGTAAGACTTAAATACAATACTGCAGAGTCATAGTACCATCCACAGAACTCACAAACAACTATAAGTAAATAATGAAAAGTGCCCAATATATGCCTTGTGTATAAAGGCTTTCCCCTGGTAGCTATAGCATCCGTCTCCTGCCTCACTTACAATCCTTCTCAACCTCCACTGTTTCCCCCACTAACTCCACCGTAACTTATGCTTTTGCTGCCTATCACTGCTCTCACATCAGCAACAAGGAAACAGGAAGTTGACAGATCAGCAGAAGCTGAGATGAGGGTGAGTGAGGGGGTTGGAGTCTGGTGTACTTGAGGGCCAGGGTGGGTGCCAGAATGCTCACTGGCACTGAGTTGCTAATCCCTGTAATAGATTCTAGGAGGTTCTTTTAGAATCACATCTTTCTATAAAACTCCGAGCAAACAATGCATAGGATTGAGTGCTGAAGGACTTCAAAAATGTCTAAACATGCATTGGATTGTGCTTTTAGTTACTGGTAGTAAGAGCTTTGAGCAATAATATGCTAGTATCTTGGAGAGCAGGGGAAAAGAGAACATCTATGAATGGTGATCCAGAGTGAGAGCAGAAAAAAAGGAAAAAATAATCAGCTAGCAGAGGAAGTAGAAGAGATGAAAAGTCTGCCTTCTGTGAGAAAGTTTTCTGTTGGTGCAGAAAACAGTGAATTCAAAGGGATTGTTTAGTGCATTGGGGTTCAAACTCCACCACCACCTTGTGCTCAGTCTTATGACTAGCCATGGTTTCTGTGGTAAAAATGTTGGAGTGATGCCCAGAACAATTTCCCAAACTGCCAAATATGTCTACAGGCCCAAAATGTCACCCTACCCTTTCCTAGAGAGACTGGGGGGAAGGGACAGGTTTGAGGAGAGGGCTTGGAAATTTTTCTTGCATGAACTTCCTTGTAGCTGCAATCTTTATCTAAGCATTCTTCATCCTAGTACCTTCCAAGCTTGTTGGACCATAACTTTCAGCATGCCCTGGGAGTTGTAGTTCAACATACCTGAAGGGCACGAGTGTGCTGAGGACTGCTATTCCTACTCACTGGGGCTTACTTCTGAGTATATAAATTTAGGATTCAAGCTGTCAGCTTATTTTAGGCTTCAAGACACTGACATTAAACAGCTCCGTAAGTACATAACTGATCTCGTATACCCCAGACAGTAAGAAAGAACAGTTGTATCAAGCAATACAGTAACCCAATAAAACTATCCAAGACTACATATGGTTAGCAGTTCAATTGATCCCCATACAATTACACAAGTTCAGAAAAATGGCACCTGGCTGACAGTAAGTGCAAGCTGAAGAATCAAAATTTGTGAGTGGTTTTCATAACACTCTTTAGGAAGGTAGAATATCTCCTCAACTAAACAGGCTGAGCAATAGCCCTTTGTAAAACACCTCCCATATTTCTTGTGCCAGAAAGAATCATTGCTTTCATTCTGAAATTGTAGACTCGGTCAAGGTTTACAATGAAATAAATAAGTACAAGAATTATCTCCACACTGTCCTTGGGAGATTTATACCATGTATGTCTTCAAGAATCAAATAAAATTTGCTTTTTTTGCCCCTGGAAATATGTTCTTGTACTTGAATTGACAGTTTGATCCTATTGGGTCACACCATGTGCCAAGGATCCTTCTTTTTTCTTTTTCTTCTTTTCTTTGGTTTTATGAAGTGTTTGGTTTATGTTTGTTTATTATTTATTGTTTTAATCACTATATTATAGTATTATTATAGTATTATTTATGACTGTAAGCTGTCCTGAGCCTTTTGGAAAGGACAGGATAAAAATGTTTTAAATAAATATATAAAAGGATCCCATCATCTTTTTGTAACTGTCCAGAATAAACTGACTTATACTTGTTTAGTCATAAGATCTTTAAACCTTTTTGATTATTATTATTTTTTGCTATAATGAACTGGATTATCTCATTATTCTTGTGACTCAGGCACCTAGCTTTACCAAAAATCTTAGTCATAAGACCTGAACATTTTGATGTGGAGAGCTGAGCCACATAAAATTGGCATTCAGCAGAGAATAGCTACATATCTGCAATGTCATTCAACTAAGCCCATGCCAAGAATGTGTGCATCACCATGGAATCTGCATGCTCAGATTTCTAACTAGATATAACACGGTTCACTTGTGCGTATGCAGTTAATGTGAACAGGTCATTTTCTACATATGAGCTTTCCAGAAATTGCTGCTGCTTGCATCAGTATGGCCACACGTTTTTCCACCTAGTTGTATGCAGACTGCTGTTTTGCTCCAAAACAGAGTACTCCAATCAAAATAAACTCTCTACACAGTAAATTTTAATTACTAGGGGTCAGTCTACATTCTTAGAATTGTACTGTTATGTCTTGAAAATCCTACAATAAATATTTTTTGCAAATGCTCACTTAGTGCAATCTTTAAGGAAACTTGAGTTAGAGGCATTCCTTCAGATTTTTGCTAGCCTCTAGAACCATTGTCCTAACACAGAGGTAGGGAAGTGGGTACTGATGAGTGTGGAGGGGTGCCTTTTATTGAAGACTTCTCTACCTGACATGTTTATTGTATTCATATGATGTCATTTATGATGCCATCATAATCAGGGGCTCTCCCCATGTTTTCCAGACTTTTCAATATCTTGCTTTCCTGCCCAGAGTGAGAAAAGTCAAGTAGCACATTTTAAATCATGGTAAGTAGGAAAAAGGCCTTATGTATTGCTGCAAATCCACTATAGTGCAGCTATACCACAGCCCCACCTTGTGGTTGGTAAATAGAAGATTTGTAGAATGGCAGAGAAATGCAAACTCCAAAGGGAAAAGTCTGTGTAAAGGACCTTCTGGGGAGATACCAATGTCGCTGTCTGGTCCAAAACTGATGGATGAATTTCAGTTACTGTGGCCTGATGATGTGGACAAGGTGCTTGGACGAGTACGTCCTACCACTTGCCTATTGGACCCTTGCCCATCTTGGCTAGTTAACAATGCCAAGCACAGGATAGGCATTAGTGATGTGAGCCGCCCCGAGGCTTTGGCGAATGGGGCGGCATAAAAATGTTTTAATAAATAAATAAAATAAATAGGGACCTGGATCTTGGAAGTGCTTAACAGCTCTCTGAGGGAGGGGCGAGTACCTGCCCCTTTAAAGGAGGAGGTAGTCTGACTGGTCCTGAAGAAGGCGTCACTGGATCCAGAGATGGCCACTAATTATAGACCAGTGACCAACATCCCGTTTCTGGGCAAGGTGTGGGAGCGGGTGGTGGCGGGACAACTCCAAGCACTCTTGGATGAAACTGATTATCTGGACCCATTTCAGTCCGGCTTCAGACCCGGGTACAGTACT